GAATGAGAAGCCCCGGCCCCTAATTACATGGGATTGGACGGAGCCCAGGACATCGCTAGTTCGTCTCAGATTTCTAGACGGCGCTGCGATACTCTCTCAGACCGTCAGAATACTTCGTTCCTTTTTCTGTGGTCCTGGATGATCCTGTGCAGGAAGCATCTCCATCACTTCCCCTCCGGCTGGAGCTGGGAGAAGCTCCGGGTGCCTCGACACAGGAGCTCTGAGGATCTTGGTGCGTCTTTAGGCTTGGCTTGTCTAAAGGCCTCAGACCAACAGAGGCCTCCGCAGACGCTCGTATTACTTCCCAGCAAGGCACTGAAAGGTTGAAGCCGAGACACTTGCCCAAACTTCCCTTTCTCAGCCCCTTGGAGCGCAGTCTGCCAGCAACTCTGCCGAGGTGGTGGATGCCGGCTATGGCCAAGTCGCACTGCACCAGGCGGCGAGCAACCGCTTCGTCAAGATGAGCCATCATGCTCCTTGCTCCAAGCTGTACACTGGCAAGCCTGGTACAAGGTCAGATGCGGAGTCATAATTCTGTAAGTCGCCTTTCTCGTCACCCGGAAGCTTTCCTGGAACCCCGGACTCGGATCGTCCGGATGCGGATCCGGACCGTCGCCTGACCGGACCCGGAACCTGCAACCCAAGGAAATCCCCCTAGAGCCCTAGAGTGTCAAGCAGTCTCTGGAAATTTTGGCTCTGTCGTTGTCAGGGGGTTTGTCCTAGCAACAGTTTGCTCGAATATAATAAAGATCATGAAAACCCTGGCGCGCCGCGAAAGCGGCGGTGCGGCAGAGTTGTGATAGGGAGCTGCTTAGTTTAGTTGTGTGGGATGGTGTTTTGGTTGGTTTCGTCGAGATTTCGTTGTTTACGCAAATGCATTCTTCGAAGGAAGCTTAAGCTTGCGAGTTGGACACCTGAAGGATCCTGAAGGTGCGAGTCAAAACGAATCCAGAGTCACTGCGAAACACATGCCAAGTAAAGATCTTTGTTGAACATCCTCTAGTGCATTAGCCGCAAAGCTCACGACAGAAAAAGACTCTTTGGAATGTCTGCGTGTTTCGGAGATTTGCGCGAAGGGCTCGCAAAAAGGCGCACACAGGCCCTAGCAAGGCCAGGGCCCGTCTTGGCTGCAGGACCCCTCTTCTGGGCCCGTATCCTCGACTCGTCAAGAGAGGTATTGCAACAGAATCGAGTCTTTCTGCAGCTTAGATGCTTCTCTGCCCGAGTTATGTTGAGCTGTTCTTGTTGTTTGCGTGTAAAGCACGCGGATTCTATGCGAAAGCGGGGCGGAAGGAATGTTTCTGGGGGAGAGCTTTTCGGACAACGCCCCGAAGCATCGAAACTCAAGGATCTTGGCCGGTGCGCTCTTCCCGCATTCCAAGGACATGATTCGCTCGCCACATCGCAACTGGCATCAGCTGCTTTCTGTTGGCATGAGCAGTTTGAAGCCAGCGCAGATTCGCTTGGTCAGTTTCCGCGCAATCCCACGGTAAAGAAGCCGAGGCCTGGGGGCTGGGATTCCGAACGCTTCACGGTCGTCGATGCGCACGGCGCGGATCCTTCGGAGTGGTCTTCTTTACGCGGGTCCCAAGCTCGGCCGTGTGTGCCCTGCGCATCTTCAGGCCACGGCCGCGTCGCTTTGCACAACCCGTGGAAGAACCGTGACTGGGCCAAGAGACTTTGAAGAGGTACAGTCGTGTCAGGGTAATTACAGGATGCATGGGCTTCATACAGAACTGTGAAAGCTCCTGAATGCAACGACAAGGCTTTATCAAGATGTGCCACAACGGCGATGGTTGCCTCAGCCCTCACAGGGAGCACGGGGAATTCTGTTGGGTTTTCAAAAGTGGGTCACAGGGCTTTCGTTTGTTGCCACATCTTCTATGCAGTGCCGGGTTTAGCAGCTGGAAGCTGCACGGTTTGGCATCTGCTCAGCTGATGGTCCGTCCGCAGGACCCTGATGCACTGCCCCACAATTGGGGCTCGCCAGGTCCCCAGACTCTCTGTGCCTATCACGAAAGAGGGGGCGAAAGAGGAGCGGAGAGAGAGGGAATGCAAGGGAGAGAGGGAGAGACGGACTGAGACACTCAGGGAATTCTTCCATGTTCTCGAGGCCAAGCCGAGGGGTTGCACATCGCTTCGGAGTCCAGAGTGTGTGTGCGCTTTAGCACCACTCTACTGCTTGAAGACATCGACTCGTGCTGTTGCCAGATCAAGCCTTGCCATACCGGCGGCGGTGGCCATTGCAGTCAATGCCAAGATCCATGGCACCGACATGTCGGGCGCCCGGGGACGAAACACAGGGAGGTTGGTCAGGGAATGCTGTGCATCTCTGTGCCAGGTGAACAATCACTGCCGCGCGTGCAACCACGGCTACTACTTGCACGGCCACCACTGCCACGCATGGGGCTGCACAGGTGGCCACCACCGTGTCTGCGGCACCTGCGTAGCCCAACATCATCGTAGGGTGCGGCCGGCATGTCTTGGGGCCACCTCGGCTTGAATCGTTCATCTTGGTCTGGTGTTTCGGGAGTCCTTAGTCGCCTTAGTCCTTCGTGACCACTGCGCGACAAGTGAGTGGAAGTTCTAGCTTTCGGCAGCATTCGTGGAAATTCGCAGGAACCTGGACAGTGCATCATGGGATCCCTCACAGATGAGGGCGGGCCAAGTTCTTCTGGATCCCTCATTGTGAAGGAATTAGAGAGAAAGCCCCTGCAAAGCAGCGAGCTGCCTAGGCGAAACCTCCAACTTCCCGCCTTGAACTGTTTTTGGCGGCGGTGATCGGGGGTCAGATCTGGGAACTGCAGGTTGCAATAATGAATTCGTGGCCGGGTCTGGGGTCTATCATCAGTTGTAATCAGGGTTGGGCAGGGAGGGCCCTGGTGCCAATGTCACCCCCTTTCTTGATTATGACCCAAGGCCACCTCTACCCCTAGGCATTTGAAACTCCTCTTGCGCCCGGAAATTCTGGCCTGGAGAATGGTGACACTCATACAGCTCCTACATTGTACATTGCCTCCAACCGTACAGCATTGGACCAATCTGCCCACGTCGCAGCACCACAACCACTGCGCGAGCTGCAACGCCGGTCACTTCCTGCTCGGCAGCCGCTGCCAGGCAGGACATCTTTAATTGCTGCTTGTAGGAGGGACGTGGGCTCGGGGCTTCCTTTGACCTGGCTTCTCTGTTCGTGCCCTGACTTGCCTGTGCCCAACAGTCTCTGCTGCTGGGTGCCACGCTGAGCTTCCACCAGCCCAACCACAACCGCTTCGTGCAAATGCCGCTCGGCGTGAACTGTGCAGAGAAGGGCGCAGGCCTCCGAGAGCTCCATGATCCGCTGCGCGGCTCCAAGCCAAGGTGGGGATCCGACATGGTTTGGACTGGCCACAGGAATTGGGAATCTTGGCTCCTCTTGCTCAGCTGATGTGTAACGATATATCACCAACTTCGGACCAAGGAGCTTGCACGGAGTTGTCGGCAAGAAGATTCTAGAGCCTCCATAAATTTCTTGAATCGGGGCTCGGGGTCAGAGGGGGAGGTCCTCGCGATGCCTGATCTTTCAGGCTGCTCGCTCGTTCTGGCGGCTCCAACAAGAGAAAGCCCAAAGAAGCCCATAGAATCCCACCAGCTTTGGTGGTTTCACCTGGAGCAAACTGCTAGGCCCTTGGCGCGACTTGGAGGAACATCTTAATGCCTTGAGAATGTTCTTGCAAAGTCCAGGAAGCACGCGAGAAAGTAGTCGTCAGGCACTTGTCTTCTTGTTGTTTCTCCCCCCGCGAACTACAACTACTACTACTACTACTACTACTACTACTACTACTGCTACTGCTACTTACTGCTACTGCTACTGCTACTGCTACTGCTACTGCTACTGCTACTGCTACCGCTACCGCTACCTGCTACTAGTACTAGTACTAGTACTAGTACTAGTACTAGTACTAGTACTAGTA